AAAAAAAAGATAATCAACAAATAAACATTCTATGTGTTTTATATCATGCCGAAACCATAAAAAAAAAAAATTAGTCGAAATAAAAATACTTTCAGTACGTAACATATTGAGACTTGCTTTAAATAGAAATTGACACTCAAACGGCAATCACACATAAACGCATATCAATACCGAATTTAGTTTAGAACATTCTGGGGTTATGCATGCAGAATTTCCATGACTTTCCATTTTAAAGTTTGTTTAACATCTATACATCTATTATCGATAAGAACGATCGGAAATCACTTGATCGCTAAGATGGGCCGAATTTTAGAATCTGGACCATACTGATGCCGGTGTTATATACATTAGCATTAGAGTAACTGATCAGTACAGTATGGTTTTTTTCGTACGTACTTGATTTGCTTACTCATACTATACTGATCTGCTGTAATCTCGGCGGTCGTAGGGATTTAGCTTCTTTAACATATCCACCCAAGTAATTTACGTAATTGGTACGATTGCTACCCAGCATTAATATTATTATATGTATCGGCAAGCTAAATTTTGTATGTAAATGACTATGCTGCAAAATTACTGTTCCTTAGTACTGTTCCTGATAGGGCAGGAAAAGAAGTCGATTCACATACCATTCCTGATAGGTTCCAAAAAAGGGCCTCTAAAATATTATACTACTATAGTAAAGAATATGAAAAAAAAAAAAATTAGGATTATGATTCGTTTTTGAAACCTATAAGGAACAGCGCTTAAATATTTTTTTTTTTTTAATTTCGGCATCAGAAACAGTATTTTTGCGACTATGCTGGGTTCGTCGTAGGGATTTATCCAATTATTCAGACTTTGATGCATATTATATTAGTGATATAACCTGCAACACGTCAGATTATGATTTTTGGGATAAGAATGTGACTTTTAACTAAAAGTATTGGATATCTACGCCAAGCAAATTTGCTTGCGAATACCTTGGATAGCAAAATTATCATCTGGATAATTTTACCTAATGAATATGCTATTGCTTTATTAGCGAAAGTTTGAGTAATGTTGGGCAATTCCGGCCTGGTCCGATTGATTCCAACCCAGAATTGTGGTCAATCGGCTGAACTTTGGTTGTGCCACTAATCTATTCTCATAGGTATACGCTATTTCACGATTTTACATAAAAATGAAAAGTCTATTTATTATACTGAGGACTTGTCATATTAAAACAATAACATAAATGATTCATTTGAGCTAAGCTTTCATCAAACTTATAAGTTGCAATTCGCGTTTTATCTGATCACCAGTAGGGATGGGTGGATAAAGTGTACTGTTGGAATTAAAAATTTCAAGAGGTTGCAAAATATTGTCGCTCGCGATATGAAGAAAGAATGTTGAGGATATTCTCCAAAGAGGACGATTTGGATGTGTTCTTTTAGCATTTTCAATAGCTTGTAGAGTTGTTTCTGTTACAACGACTTCATGATAACCCGCTGTAACTTCACCACCCGTTAACCATTCAAGTTGTTTACCAGCTTGAACTAATAAATGGCCTTCCGGTACACGAACTTGCATCTTGACAGATCCGTTACGTGGCCAAATATGTAGCCCGGGAAATCGACTTTTGCCGTGAATAGTCAAAAAATTAATGTCATAATGAAACCCGGCACATATTACGCCAAGTTTTCCGTGTTTATTCAAATCAATTCCTGTAGGAGCCAATAGATGTGGTCCATACTTTGTAAGATCTGGAAAAGTATTGGCAGGTAATCCAAATCCAACAGATAACATTTCTGCAACACCGACCACAGCTTGATGCATTTGATTCCCGCTTTGGTTCATAATGTCGGACCAAGTATCTTTAAAAGAATCAGGAACAACCGGTTCAGCGTTAAGTTGAGGAAACTTTGTTTCTTCTGGTAATTCACCGATGCGCCAAAAAAAACGCCATTTTGGGTCAGGTCCTGTGGGAATTAAAGGCCGACTTTCTTCGGGCATTCTTTTTATTATATTTTGACAATCAGGATCACGCTGACATTTCGGTTCTTCTTTAAATTCAGGAGTAACGCCTACTTGATATCCGATATCTGGACGGGAATCTTTGAGTTTGACCTCCAACGGTTGATTAAAGTAGTCTTCCATTAAATCAATAAACGTAGAATTATCTGCTTCGGTTACTCTAGGATCTTTAACCAACAAAGCCCCATAATCTTGTAAAGCTTTTGCGGCCTTTTTGCATTCTTCAATAGCTAAAGGATCATTTTTATCATTAAGATAAAGGCCAAGATCGATTACAGGGATAGTAAAGGTAGTCATTTTGACAGGAGTGAAATTTTTTTTGCATATTTGATATATATAAATATATCGATATACGGGTAGAAAATTTCTTAGCAGGACAATCTCTAGTCTATTTTATGTATAAATTGAAATTTTGGCGCCTAACCTATATGTATATTTTTGTGTTACATTAATCGGACCAATCAAAATTAACTATAACTTCTAAATTTGGCGCTCTTAAATTTGGCGCTTTTTTTAATAAAAATGCTGTCCGGTGCTGACAACTTGGACATCATGTGGACAATCACCAGATCAACAAGATCGTTATGATGACAAAAATAGGAATTAGGGATGCTAAAAGTCCGGTCTTAAAAGTCCGGTCTGACCCAGTTTTGGTTAAGTCTGGCCCCGAACTGGGACAATAATCGTACGTACGTACGTTGTGACAGTGAAAAATGGTACTACGCCTAAAAGATATGTTTCACCGGAGGGCGTGGAAGATTTGGTCCGATAACCAAGGATCCTACTGCCACTAGGATCCCTGGGTTAGCTGGTCTTTATTTAATTATGATTCTTATTTTCCTATTATCTATCTGCTTCCTTTAGTTACATTATGAACAACATTGGGGCTTTGCTACTACGATTATGATCAATTATAAGTAATATAGCTATTTAAAGTATCGATGGCTAACGATAAGCAATTCATACTCATGTACATGACGATGACTTTAGTTCCCACCATGTGAATACCAGCGACGTTTACTATTGTTCTCAATGAAGCATCGCCTCAAGCCAAACCAGAATTAGTATTTTTAAATGCCTTCGCTTTCTCGATCAATCCGCATTTTTTCGGGTCCCCGAGTCATGTGGCTTGAATCACGTTTTCATAACTGCGGCTAGGTCACATTTCACCGTCACAACGTACTGTACGTACTAATCTAGTTTATAAAATCTTCTCAAAACGCAATATTTATTCTTTTCTGGTTAGATCTACCGTAGTGCACTGACCAAAGTATCCCCCTTTTTCAATATCCCCCTTGCAAAATACCCGGTGCCCAAAACACGAAAATTCTATTAATTAAATATAGGTTTTGTTGAATTTTTAGACTGCTTATCATGAATGCGGAGTATGAAATTTCTCTTTCTTGCGACACAGACCCACTGTTGTATAATATACCGGGTCTTTTGTAAGTTTTTTTTTGACGGGTATTTTGTATTAGACCCGGGTCTTTTGGTCAGTGCGCTACAGTACTTATCTCGCAAATTTATTTTTATATTTTACTAGTTTACTCGCTTATCTTTATTAGGATTCTGGGATTATCATTACCGAATTTATAATCTGTTTATCTAATCTGATTTTTATTACCATTATTATTTACTAGAATAATGCCACCTACCTACTATGTAGAGTTGTTAATGGAGTGCTCCAGTTAATAATAAAACATATAACCCACTTCAGAAGCAGGTATATATTTTATTATAGTCTGGAATACTTCATTAACAACTCTACTATTTACTCTAGTGAATTTATACTCTGTATATACTCAAAAAAAAA